CCTCAGCCTCCTTAGTAGCTAGAACTACAGGCGTGCACCACCACACCTGGCTAATTTTTTAAAAATTTACTATAGAGTTGGGGTCTTGCTATGTTACCCAGGCAGGTCTCAAACTCCTGGTCTCAAGCAGGCCTCCTGCCTCAGCCTCCCAAAATTCTAGGATTATAATTATGAGCCACTTTGCTGGACATCTTCATAATATTGTCTGCCTATCCATGAAAAGTGGAAAATGTCCTTTTTGTTGTTGTTGTTCTTTCTGGATTTCTTTCATCAATTTTATTTTCCTTATATACATTTTTAAAACATATTTTGTTAGATTTATACCTAAGTATTTAATTTTTTGGATGCGAATGTAAATGGGTATTGTGTTTTTAATTTCAAATTCCATTTATTCATTGCTACTCTATAGGTAAGTGATTGAATTTTATATATTAATTTTGTAACTTGTAACCTTACTGTGATTGCTTATTACTTCCAGGAGTTATTTTTTGTGTTTTTAGTCAATTCCTAAGGATTTTCTACATAGACAATGATGTCATTTGGGAGTAGAGACAGTTTTATTTCTTCTTTGCCAGTCTGTGTACCTTTTATTTCTTTTTCTTGTCTTATTGCCTGGACTTTCAGTACAGTGTTGAAAAGAGTGGTGAGAATAGTGTCCTAGCCTTGTTTCTAGTCTTAGCAGGAAAGCTTTTGAATTTCTTACCATTAAGTGTGATGTTAACTGTAGTGTTTTGGAGATGTTCTTTATCAAATTGAGGATGTTCTCCTCTATTCCTAGTTTATGGATAGTTTTTATTATGAATGGGTGTTGGATTTCGTCAAGTGCTTTTCCTGTGTGCTTTGATGTGATCATGTAGTTTTTCTTCTTCAGCTGCTGATGTGATGTATTACATTAATTGATTTTTGACTGCTATACCAGCCTTACATGCCTGGGATAAATCCCACTTACTTGGTCCCAGTGTGTAATGCTTTTTATACATTGTGTTTTGATTTGCTAATGCTTTGTTGCAGATTCTTGCATATGTTTATCAGATATTGGTGTTTAATTTTCTTGTAATATCTTTGTACAGATTAAGTATAATAGAAATACTGACCTCAGAATAAGTTAGGAAGTAGCCTCTTCTTGTCTATATTTTGGAAGAGTTTGAGAAGATTGATGTTAATTCTTTTTTAAATGTGTTTGATATAATTCACCAGTGAAGCTACCTGGTCGTGGGCTTCTCTTTGTGGGAGAGTTTTTGGTAACTATCTAGTATCTTTACTTATTGTAGGTCTGTTCAAACTTTTTATTTGTTCTTGAGCCAATTTTGATGATTTGTGCATTTCTAGGCATTTGTCCATTTAATATAAGTTGTATAATT